CGGCGGGGTCCCGGCGCGCACGCCTGGGGACCTGGGGCCGCTCCGTGCGCGCGCGGCCGCCGAGTGGAGAGCGAGTCCGATAAGCCGACTGCGTTTTCCACCCGGTAACGTCTGGAACGGCGGCGCCGGCTGGCGCGTGCGCACGCGCGCTGGCCCGGCCGCAGGGCCCGGAGCACTGGACGAGCGGGGCCTAGGCTTTCCCGGATGGGGCCCGAGGGTGGAGCCGAGTTTAGGGAAGTGACCCAGGCGGGCACCGCCCGGAAACCACCCCACCCCCTGTTTGGGCCGATGGGCTGTGTGAACTGAACGCGGCGCAGGGGGTGACAGGCCTGACGGCACAGGCCAGTGCTGGGGCCGGGCATGGGCCCCTCTCCCCGAGTGGCTCTGCCCGTGGGTAGAGTTCTCCCGGGGAGGGGACAGGACCTAGCTGAGCGCCTTTCCCCGCCCACTCCGGAAGCGGACAGGTCACGTGGCAGTTTAGCCTGCAGTTCCGGGAGGGGGCGCGACGAGATTTTAAACGTGGGTAAAGCGCGCCCCCCCCGCGTGTCCCCGACACGGTTCACAGTAGAAGTGTAGAAGTCTAAAGATCTCTCAGGGACCGTGGGCCTGTTAGCCTGTGTCAGCGATCCACGGGGTTCTGCCCTCCCCGAGACTGGGAGTCGTCAGGGTTCTACTTAGTGGTTGTGGTTTTCTCTGCTTGAGGAAGAGTTCAGTAGAGAAGCGGCTAATCGGTGTAATAACTGCCTTGAGTGGTTGCGATGGAATTACTGTAACTGCGAGCCCCGTCGGCTGCCCTGTGCAGTCTGGAGGGGCCTTGTCTTTGGTTTCCTAAAGGATGGCTGCGTGGGCGTCGGGGTTCCGGCTTGTGGCTCTGAGCGTGTGAAGTTGAGTATTGCAGGTAGGAAGCTGTTGTAGCTGGTGGACTGTTGTCAATTCAGGGTTCATATCTCAGAGTTCTGCTTCTCCCAGGTTTTTGGTTTTTAGCTCATAAAGTATCAGGGTCTGGGGATGATGATCTAGTGTTAGGCCCCTCTGTCTGGGACCCTAACACTAGGTGACCACAGGTCCCGCCTAGGATTTCTGTGGTGGGCCTCCGTACCATTGGCTGCTTCGGCAGTGGTTTGGGTGGGAACTAGTCCCCTCTGTTTTGTCATGGTCTTTTGGGACTGACACTTGTTGGCATCCAGGTGGATTGCTTAAGAGGCAAGGGGAGGGACTTGGGAGACCCAGAAAACTCATGGTGTGTGCTCATCCTCAGGCTTCTGGCGTGGCCGTCTCAGACGGTGTCATCAAAGTGTTCAATGACATGAAGGTGCGCAAGTCATCGACACCAGAGGAGGTGAAGAAGCGCAAGAAGGCAGTGCTCTTCTGCCTGAGTGAGGACAAGAAAAACATCATCCTGGAGGAGGGCAAGGAAATCCTGGTAGGTGATGTGGGCCAGACTGTGGACGACCCCTACGCCACCTTCGTCAAGATGCTGCCAGACAAGGACTGTCGCTACGCTCTCTACGACGCGACCTACGAGACCAAGGAGAGCAAGAAGGAGGACCTGGTGTTCATCTTCTGGTGAGCTCCTGCAGCCCCAGCTGCCACGCCCTGTCTCAGGAAGAGGACTGCCAAGCTTTCCCAGGAGTGTGTTTTGGTGGGGGGAAGAGTTCTAGCAGAACGGCTTGTCAGTGCAGAGCTGGATGAGAGCTCGAACGCCAGAAGTCAATTGGAGGGTTTCTTGACTTCCTCTGTCACTTCAGCATGGTTGTTAGACTTGGGGGTGGACACTTTACTGCAGGTTCGCTGACTGTTTCTCTCTCTAGGGCTCCTGAGTGTGCACCCCTTAAGAGCAAAATGATCTATGCCAGCTCCAAGGATGCCATCAAGAAGAAGCTGACGGGTAAGGGACCAGCATTAGCAGAGCTACATGCTGCCTTCTGCTCGGGCCTGGGCTTGGGGCGGGTGAGCGGCCTGGCAGAGGCCCCCACCTCTTCCCACTGGTGGGAAGGTGACTTTGCCCATTCCATCTGCTCTGGTTGGCCCCTTCCCAGTGCTTTCTGTTCACAGAACGCTCCCCTTGTTCCCCACAGGGATCAAGCATGAATTACAAGCAAACTGCTATGAGGAGGTCAAGGACCGCTGCACCCTGGCAGAGAAGCTGGGGGGTAGCGCCGTCATCTCCCTGGAGGGCAAGCCTTTGTGAGCCCCCTCCAGCCCCCTGCTTGGAGCATCTGGCTGCCCCAGACCCGCCGGGGGGGGGGGTTGCAGGCTGCCCCCCTTTCTGCCAGACCGGAGGGGCAGCAGGGGGAGGGCAGTCCCTTCACCCAGTTGCCAAACAACCCCCCCCCACCCCCGGACCTTCCTCCTTCCTCCATTCCTGACGGATCTGGCCCTCCCAAACTGCTTTTGATCTTTTGATTCCTCTTGAGTTGACAGACCAAGTTTCCCTTAGATGCCCTTACTGGAGGAATCTGTATTTTTTTTAACGAAACCCCAACTCCCCACCTGCTGCTCCTCTCCCCTATGCTGCCAACTTCTAACCACAATAGTGACTCTGTGCTTGTCTGTTTAGTTTTGTGTGTAAATGGAATGTTGTGGAGATGACCCTTCCCCGCGCCGCCTGGTCCCGTCCCCCCCCCCCCCCACAGTTACTCATGGAGCAGGATTGGTAAGGGATCTTCAATTAAAAAGACACACACACACACAACAATAAAAGGCTCTAATGGGATGTTTGTTTCAGGGTTGGGGCCCAGGGGACCTTGCCAGGCAGGAAGGCTGGGAGAAAGCGCATTGCTTCCCCTCCCCTACCTCTAGCCAGCCCCAAGTCCTGATCTGGCCCAGGGGTTGTTTGGGCCTCCTTCCGGCCACTCCAGCTGACAGGGTGGTGCCTCTTTTGGCACCAGAGCCATTCAGGAGGTAGCTGTGCAGGGTGTGTCTGCTGTGCAGGGCTCTGGGTAGAGGTTCCTTCGTGCCTGAAGCGCTTTCTCGGAAGCCACAGTCTGGGGGGGCAGTGAGGGCATTCTGCTAGCTGACTCAGTCCTGCCCAGATGTGGGCTGTGCACTTGCAGGTCACAGGTGGCTTCTTGAGCACTCTCCCCGCCCCAGAGGTTCTCCACCTTGCCCTAGACGGCTGGCTGACTCATTTACAAGGTCTGGCAGCCGGGTCTAGTGCCCGCTGTGAGTCAGAAGCCAGGTTGGGCCTTCTCATGTGGTTGGAGTCCACTCTGGGAGGGGCCAGCCAGGTGGGGCACAGGACTTCAGACCCAGCTGTCTTGGGTGCTGCCTCCCTGTGTTTAACCAAGAGGGTGTTGGCTGAGGTGGTGAGACTTTGGCCAGCATTACCCTGGGCGGTCCAGCTTGCGCTTGGGTGCCTACCTACCTGGCAAGTGAAGGTATTCTAGAAGCTGAGCTCAAGAACAAGGCATGTTAGGGTAGTAATGCAAGATTTATTACCTCCTGTCCCAACCAACTGGACTACATAGAAGCCACTCTGGGTTCCTTGGAGTTGGTAGTTCCTTCTGGGAGGGAGCCAAGGTGGGGGTGGGGGTGTTGCTGAGGGCTTGAGAGTTTTGCTGGGTTTGTGGGGATGACCGACAAGCCCTGAGACTGCTCCTAGGTTCCGAGTCGAGCGCGTGGCTCTGGAAGATAACTGCCTGTGCCCCTAGGATCTGGTTTCTGGATCAAGGTGGGTCTGGTGGACCCTGGAGATAAGACTTGAGGACAGGTAGGCCCTCAGGCTATAAGACCAAGCTTGCAGCTCGGGACAGGATGGGGCCTCCGAGGTAGGTAGAGGCTTGCCCCCCAGCACTCAGGAAGGGTGGGGTGCTTGGGCACCCCCAGGTTGTGGCTCTGCTTACCTGTGGCCAAATACAGTGCCCATGCTGCCCTGTCTTGCAGGGCCTGGCACCTTCGGGGGTGGGGCTTGCCTTGGGAAGTCATTGGGCCTGGCTAGTGGGGAAGGCAGTGTCTTGAGGCCGGTGGCCTGGGGAAGCCTGTTACTAAGGTCTTAGCGCTACGGCTCCCCCTTGAGGGCGATGAGGGTGTTCCGGAGCAGCAGAGTGCTGGCCTGCGGATGAGAAAGGTCCTTGTCCCCAGCGCCTTGAGGCTGCTGCTGCGCTGGCAGCCCAGGTAGCCCCTGTCCCTGCCTCCCCCTCACTACGTGTAGGGGCAGCTGCCATCTGCCTTGAGCTAGGCATGAGTGAGGGGAAAGCTGGCCGGGGCTGTTCAGGTGCCTCGCCCCCGCGCCCATGCTGGGAGCAGCTGAAGGGGGTTGGGGGTGCAGCAAGGGGGCTCACCTTGGCGTGTTTGAGCTCTAGCTCTGCCAGCTCAATGAGGTTCTTGCGAAAAGAGGAGACTCGGCGGGACTTGAAGTCCATGAGCTCTGGAGAGGAGCAGGGAGAGAGTGCGGGCCCCTGCAGGGCAGGCAGCGGGGCTCCGGGGCGCTGGGCTTACCCTGCTTGGCCGAGCCTGAGAGGCGCTCGAAGCGCTCACAGCACAACTGCTGGTGGCTCTCTGCGCTGCGCACTTCCCGGTTCCTGGCACGAGCCTTGTCCAAGGCCTTGTTGGCGTTCTCATAGTCGGCCAGGGCCCGAAGCCTCCGGTAGAGCAGGTCCTGGGGCCGTGATGGCACCGGGTCCCTTTGCATGGGGTGCGCCTGCCCGCCCACCCTCACCTTGGCTGCAGTGCCACTGGCTTCCAGCCCTGAGGCCACGGGGTTGCTCACCTTGGCTGCCTGTGAATCCCGCATGTAGTATCTCAGCATGTCTGACAGCTTCAGGTCCTCGTCAGAGGCCACTCGACCCTCCAGCTTCTGAGTCAGAAAGGTGAAGGTTGGAGAAGGGCTTGTGGTGGGACAGCTAAGAGCCAGGGGACTGTTTGCCACCTCGCTATCCTGTCTGGTAGCTACTTCAGGGCAAGCCCTGGTGTTCAGGAAGGGACGGCTTCACGGAGGTGGTGGCACTGGTCTGCGGACCTCAGTGTTAGGTGGGCATTGACAACAGCGAGAGCAGGCCACGGGGCACTGGGGTAGCAGCAAGATCACAAGAAGCCTAAGATGAAGGCCAAGGACTTGTGGCTCTGTCTTGGGCAACTTCTAGAAGGGGTAGGGTCACCTGGGCAGGGGAGATGCGGTGCAACAGAAGCCTAAGGGAGACTGCCACATTCCAGTGACTTGGAGAAGAGTTCAGGGAGTTTGGGGCAGGATGTCGGCTGGCACAAGTGCGTGGCGTGGCGTGGCGTATCCTTGTAAGTGTCCACCAAGCCAGGTCCCTTCCCCCACTCCTCGTTACCACCCACCCACTAGAAGTTGAATCCGCGTCTCCACTCCTTGCTAAACCAGTCTGGAAGCTAAGTCCAGAGTCATTTAGGCCCAAGTTTTAAACAAAAATGACCCTGGAACTTTTCCTTCTGTGACTTCCTCAGGGGGTGTGGTTGGCACAGAGGCAGTACTCACCCTTAATCGCTCAAAGAGCTCTGCCAATTTGAGGAAGCTCCTAGGGGGCAATGGCAGGTGTTGGGGCCGTTCCTCAGGGGTGCTCAAAGCTTCCCTGCCCTGAGACCCAGCCCTTGAAAACGCAGGCGCCCCTTTCCCAAGACCCGGCAGGACCTCCCCCCTAGACTGACGCCTGGTGGGCAGACGCAGTATCAAAGAAACAGGGAGGCCAGAAGGGCCCAAAGCTGCTCACGTCTTGAGCTGGTTGACTTCCTGCGTGCCCAGACTGCTCAGTGCAGCCGAGAGGGGGATGTAGTCGTCGGCCAGGCCTGCAGGGCAACAGCTGCCGTCAGACCGTTGGGTGCCCATGAGCCCCGCCCGGCGCATGCGCTCAGCCCCCACCCAGGGGATTCAGGGCCCCTTGGGGCCTGCGTACACTTGTGGGAGTGCATGACGCGGTCTGCCCGCAGGCAGGCATCCCGGATGCGGGTGTGGTATTCCAGCAGAAAGGTCCGCTCGTGCTCGAAGAAGTCATCCACCTCCTAAACGCGCCAGACAGGACCCACTTCAGCCAAGTCACCAGAAGTGTGGTAACCGCGGCCACCCAGGGTTGGCATGGTCTCCCTCCAGGCCAGCCCCACCAGCGGCTTCCCTCCCTGGGCGTCAATCCTTGCTGTGGGCCGCAGGCCCTGGATGGAATCCAGAAGGGGCCCGCGGGTCACCTTGAGCCCTGACACGCCAGTGATGAGCACTTCATCAGCAGACTTCACAATGTTCCTCAGAAACCCCCCAAGGAGCTCCTTCCTGTTCTTTCCTCGGACGCTCAGCTGAGGCACATTAAGGAGACGTGATGGGGGCAGGGCACTACACACCACACCACACCCAGCACCACCACTCGGGGCCATCTAGAGCCTGGCACCGCCCTCCCCGGGGGTGACTTGCGTGCTGACACAGCTCACATCTTGGCCATATTCCAAAAAGACAAAGAAGTTGTGGTCCCGATGCAGAGTAGGGTGGGCCGCCAGGCGCTGCAGGAAGACCTCGTGCATGGCGACTGTCTTCTTGAAGATGGCCAAGTACTCACTGCGGACAGAGGCCATGCTTGGCCCTTGGGCTCTGACCCCCGCGCCCTCCCGCTTCATCAGAGATGGGGTGTCAGCTGTGCAGGGGCACAGTTGGGAGAGAGCGTGGCCTCTCGGGAGGGGTGGGCTGGGGCTTGGGCCAGACGAGGTCAGGCAGTGGCACTCACGCTTCCAGCTCCTGCTTCATTTTGGCAAACTCTTCGCGTGTGATGGAGCTGTCCCCCTCACCCAGCTTCTGCAGCTTTTCTCTTGAAGCCTCAAAGTCTGGCCTGGGAGGGGCTGGGGGGATCTGTCAAAGGAGGGACAGAGCTGGAGGCGTGTCCATGCTGAGAAAGCCACATCCATGCTCCCCCGCACCCCGCAGAAGCTGGGCTGGCCTGCCCTCCCACCCCCATGACCATGCCTCACAATGAGGCCCGCGTAGTCCTCATTCTCCACGTAGGCGTCGTGGAGCCAGATGAACTCCTCATGCTGCCGAACTACGGAGAACTCGGTCTGCGCGAAGTGGGGCAGGCAGCTCTGGAAACAGGAGGCCTGAGGTGTCTGTTCCTGCCCCCCATCTCTCCCCCTGCAGCCACCCCGCTTCCCGGGAACCTTCCCAGCTCCAGATCCCAGGGAAGGCCCAAGTAGGGCCAGGTGCTTATGCTATCTGGTATGACGGTGGGCAGCTGGGTAGCACTTGAGGCCTGAGGCCAAGGCGGCTGAGCCTGGAAAGATGCCAGCCTCAAAAGGGCAGGAACCTGGTAGTGGGATCGGGTCCAAAAGCTCTGGTGACATCTGCCTGCCACGCCCCTCCCCCACCCAAGAACAGAATCCCATTCCCCAGGGAGCCTCACCTTGGTCTGCACTGTGAACTTCACCTTGTCCCGCTCGCTCACAGCATCAGAGATCTCCACCTGTAAGGAGCTGTCTGCCTGCAGGTCCGGCAGCGGGGAGGGCTGTGGGGAGGGGAGCACTGACCTGTCACCGGCCCCCTTGCCCATCCTGGCCGCCCACTCTGGCCGTCACAAAGCCTATACGGTAGCAGTGGTCCCACCCCATTGGGGTCCTGCTAAGTTACTGCCGAGGGCGTCTCAGTTCCTGCAGCACTACTGCACCCTCCCATCCTCAAGCAGGATCCTATCAGCTCCCAGCTTGTAAGTGCAGAAGCTGAAATCAGAAAAGATGAAATCTCTTGTCTCAGATCGCAGCGCTGCAATGTGACAAGTTGAGATTTGAACCCAGTTCCAAACCCCATGCATGTTCTTGGCTACCTGCCCACCTCTTTCCGGCTGTGGCTGCAACAACCTCTTGACCAGGGCATACAGTAAATCGGATAAGAAGTTCAGCTCCCACTTCCCTCTTGTGAGCATTCCTGAGCCGTTTGCATTCACTACTTATAGTGCCAAGAAGGGATGGCTTGTAGGCAAAGCACAAGTATTTCTCCAAGTGAAGAGGTCTGTGAGGCAAGAAGCTGCTCGTTCCAACAAGCATTTACTGAACACCTACTATGGCCGTGCCACTGTGTCAGGTGATACTAAGCAGAGGAAAGGCTTAGATGCCACCCTACCTGCAAGTGCTGCTCACCACCCACAAGCTGGTACTGTGCTCACACCCACAGGACTCACTGTCCTACAGGCTCTGGTGCACGATGGGAACCAGTGTGACCTCCAGCACCATAGCTTAACTTGACTGGTTTTGAAGTTCATGTAAACTGCAATTATAGAGCGTATATTCTCATCCACACCTATGTTGCTAAGAGCAGCTGGCGGCCATCCCATCCCACGGACGTGTCCCTGCGTGGGCACCCAGTCCTCCGCTGGCCGTCATGTGCATGACTGCACATTTGGCACCTTGAATGTTCTTGTGTGAGTTTTTGGAGGTCCCGTACATTTATAGATCCTTGGCATTTCCTGTACGTTTTGGAAACAACTTTTTAATTTTAACCACAAAAACCTTGCTGGCATGTTGGCTGAGAGTGCACTGAATCTACAGATCAGTTTGAAAGGGATAACCATTTCTGCAGTACTTACTCTTCCAATCCATGAACATGGAATATATTTCAAATTATGTTGTCTTTAATTTTTCTCAGTAATATTTTATAGTTTCCTCTGTAGAGATTTTGCACATCTCGTTAGTTTTTTTTTTATTACAAAAGTTTATTTTTACATCATTTTGTACATTTTCTCGTTAGTTTTTTTCCTAGGTGCCTGGTGATTCTGTTGTTGCTGTTACTATTTTAAATATTTTTAATGGATTGTTGCTAGTATATGAACACATACTATTGATGTTTGTATACTTTGTATCCATGAGCCTTGCTTTGTATAACTATGCTTACTCTTTTTTTAATGTATATTTTAAAAATTATTTATTTACGCATACAGAACTGGGGTACAGGCCAGAGGTGCAGGGGCGGTGAGAGGCTTCACCAGGGACAGAGTGGGGAGCAGAACAGGTCGACTGACTAAGCACACTGCTGCGGGGAGCAGCGGGCGGGTCAGGAGAGGTCTGCCGCGCCCTGTGGTCACTTCCAGGGCGGGACTGAACTCATGCTGAAGTGGCTTTAACTTTACAGTGCTGTGCTGTGACCCACTGCGCCCCCAGGAGGTGGCTTACTCAGTTTTAGTCTCTTCCTTTCCAGCCTTTTTACCTTTCACTTCTTTTTCTTGTCTTGTTGGCACCTGCTAGCTCGCGAAGTGCTCTAGTACAACGCGGAAGCAGAGCTATGGTGATAATGGGAATCCCTGACCTCAGGCAGATGCAGTAAAAATTTAGTCCTGAAAATGTTTTTAGATATTTTGTCAATTTAATGAAGTTTCCTGCTGTGCTGACTTTGACTATCTCTACTATTTCTGCCTTTGGAATGTTACTTTCTTTTATAAATTTTTTTCTCCCTTTATTAAGATATGTAAGTTGTTTTGTTACTCTGCATACTTGCTAATTTCATTGATTGATTTTCAAATGTCAAATCACCTTGCATTCCTTAATAAGAGGGTCATTATCATTAAGTATTACCTTTTTATGTATAGCTTATACAAGTTGTTAATATTTTGTTTCTGACTTCTGCTCACAAGAATATTACCTGCATTTTGTTTCTCACTTTGTTCACAAGAATATTAACTGCATTTTCCATTTTCCCTTTTTTGTAATGTTCTTGACAGATTGGTTGTAGGGTGTGTGAGTGTTAAAATATGATAAAAGTCGTGTCAAATATGGTAAATATGGTAAAAGTCACCATTCTAGGGCCTCCGGGTGGTGCAGGGTTAAATCGCAGCTCTGTAAAGATATCATCAGCCACTGAGACCTGAGTTCGATTCCCGGCTAGGGAGCGACCCACAGGGCACAGCAGATCTCTCGTGTCTCACCTGCTGCTCCCCTCGACAGTGCATTTCAATGGATCCGCCTGTTCTGCTCCCCATTCTGTCTCTGGTGAATCTTCTCACCCCCTGCCCCCCCCCCACTTCTGTCCTACACCCAGTTCTTTTATGCATAAATAAGTAAAATAAATGTTAAAAAGTTACTATTCTCACTGTTTTCAAGTTCAGGGTAGTAGGTATATTCACAGCGCTGTGGGTCACACCAGCTGTCCTCAAGGTTTGGCATCACAGTTAAACATTCTTAAGACAGCTTATTTCTGCCTTTGGAATAACTTATATAACAACAGAACTAGTTCACCTTTAATGCTAGAATAACTCACATGTGCAATTATCTGTGCTTAGAGAGGGATTTCTGTAAAAGTCTTAAATTCCAGATTTAGTTCCTATGATAGGAATAGAATGAACTATTCATGTTTTCTACTTGTTTCAAGCTTGGGAAAAATTGCATTTTTCAAGACATTTGAAATTTCTCTAATTGACATTAACTTTAAACAGTCATGTTCTTTCTAATATCTGAAACAACTCTGAGCATCTTCTCCCTTTTTCCCAGTCTCCCCCTTTGCTTTTTTTCTTTCTCTTACAAATCTTGCTAAACTGATAGCAAGTTTTACTAATGTTTTCAAAAAGCCATTTTTGGCAGCTCTGATTTCTCCTTTTGTAAATTCTTTTCAAATTTATTGATTTCTATTATTTTCTTTCTTTGTCTTTCTTGGGGTTTAATCTGCTCTTCCTAGTTTCCTGAGACTGAAATTTAGATAACTGATTCTTCAATCTTCCTTATTTTCTAAAATATGCATTTGGAGATATAAATTTTCCACTGAACAATATCTTAGCTACAGATCATGAATCTTGCTATAGTTTCAAAATCATTTCTTCAGAAATATTTTAAAATTCTTGTGGTATTTTGTCCTTTGACCTATGAATTACTTAGAAACATGGTGCTTAATTTCTCAATATTTTGAAATCTAGTCACCTTTTTGTTTTGATTCCTACTTAATTATATTACATCAAAGATCACATTATATGTTATTTCAACCTTCAAAAATATGAACTTGCTTTATATATAGCCCAACTAGGATGTATTTTAGTAAATGGCATGTGCACTTGATTCTTTTCTGGTTGCCGAGTATAGATTGTTGATTAATCCTGTTATTGTAAATCTAGTTTCTTACTGATTTTCTTGGTCTGCTTTGAGAGAGCAGCATGTATTGAGAGAATTGTGTTACCCCTCTAAACTATAACTGTGGATTTTTCTTTTCTGTCTTTGCATATTTTGGAACTCTTATTAGGTACATATAAGTTTAGGACTGTTTTATCCTCCTGTTGAATTGATTGAAATCATTAGTGAATGTTCTTCTATTTCTAGTAATTCTTCTTTGATTTACTTTTTTAAAAAATTATTTATGCGTACAGAACTGGGGTACAAGCCAGAGGTACAGGGCCACTGTGACGAGGATTCACCAGAGACAGGGTGAGAAGCAGAACAGGCAGATCAATAAAGTACACTGCTGAGCAGCGGGCGGGACAGAAGAGGTCTGCTATGCCATGTGGATCACCTCTGGGGTGGGGATTGAACTCACACTGAAGCTGCCGTAGCTTTGTTTAGCTTCGCACTGCGGCACTCCAACCACTGCGCCACCAGGGAGCGCCTCTGATTGACATTTCTACTTTGTCTGAATTCATATAGCCACACTAATTATCATTTGGTTACTGTATTTATGATATGTGTATGTATCATATATCAATATAAAAATGGATTTATGATATATATACATTTGTCTTTTTTAAAGATTTATTTTTATTTATGCATGCAAGAGCTAGGGTGTAGGCCAGAGGTGTGTGTGGGGGGGTGAGGGGTGAGACAGAGTGGGGAGCAGAACAGTCTGAGCTACTGAAATCCACTGCTGAGGGGAGCAGCGGGGAGACAGAAGAGGTCTGCTGTGTCCTGTGGTCAGCTTCCTGGCTGGGGATTGAACTCAGGCTGCAGTGGCTGGCAATAGCTTGATAATGCTGAGACTTAACCTGGTGCCATCAAGGAGGCCTCCCCCTTCTTTTTTTAAATAATTAAAAAAAATTTTTTACATCATTCTTCATTTTGATTATTTTTTCATATCAGGTTGTAATCCCCATGGGCTTCCCACCACCAATTCACCCATGTGCCCAGCAAGTGCACTCTTTCCACAGCCTCCCTTTTTAATTAATTTCATTAAGCATGATATAAAGGTAAGTGAACACTGCAACATATTTCTCTTTTCTATATCTCGTGTCTTTCAGCCCCTCTCATATTGCTAAGCTCTACTTGAACCCTATTCTGATACTTTGGCCGACACTCCTGGGCTAGGTTCTTCCGGTGCCCAAATGCTCCCCACAAAAAACACATTCTGACTCACTGGTGCAGTAGGGCCCTGTTCCCCATGTCCTCCCTGCTGCCTCAATGTGTCTGCTCTGACCTGCAGTGTCGGTAACTGCTGGAGGGAGATGGGACACATCTTAATTCTCTGTCACAACCCCCAAATGTGCCTCTGTGTGCCCAGCCCCTAATCATCGCTGGCACAACAATGCTCAATAACTACTCATTGCATGAAGTCAAGAGCAAAGAACGAAGAATGAATGGCCGTACAGCTATAAGAAAGCAGACACTCAGCGAAGCCATTAATCCTAAGCAAGACCGCCCACCTCGAGAAAGGAGTCTGCAGGCCTTCCCGGTTCCTAACATCCTCCTTCCTTTTCTCCCCATCAAGCCAATCTGGGTCTGGATAAGGCAGGGGAGGAATGACAGTGAGCGATTCCTTCCCATTTTGCAGGGCAACGGTAAACCCTGTCTTCTTTGGCATCCTCACCAGTTCCCATGCAGGTGCCACAGAGGCGCCCCACCCCCTTGCTGGGTCTCTCCACTTAGCTCACGCGTGCGGGCGAACACACACACACACAGAATCCTCGGCTGGGCATCACTGGGCATCAGGCGTGGGGTGGAGGTTGGGAGGGGCTGCATCCTCTCGTTACCTTGCTCTCCTTCCCAGCCTCTGGATGGTTCTCCATCACCGCCCTTTCCGGCTGCAGCGCCCAAGGGCTCCGCCGCGGCACTGCTGGCACGCTCCCGCAGCCTGCTCCCGACGCCCCTCGCCGCGGCTGGGACGGAGCTGGACCAGCGGTCCGCGACGCTCTCCCCTCCTCGCACGGAGTCACCCGGAGTCCTGCGGGATTCCCGCCCCTCCCCGCAGCCGCGCCTTTTGATTGGGCGCCTGGCTTGCCGCGCGCGGCGCCATTGGCTACTACGCCTGTCGTTCCTGGCCCAGGCCCCAGCTTTTAAGGCGCCGCGCGGAGTTGAGCTGACGCGGTACAGGCGACCTGGGGAGGGGTGAGGGCTGGGGCTCTGGGGGCGGCCGAGGTTTCTGGGCCCCCAGCACCGGGCAGGAGGACTCCCGCCGCGCGCTCTCAACGGCCTCGCGCGCCCTGCGCGTGCG